CGTAATACTTCTAAATTTTATTTATTACTGAAGCCAAACACTTCACTTGACAATATATTTAATATATTTAATATAGGATTATTAACTCAACTATGTAGGAATAAATAGCAAAAAATGTGTTAAGCTTACAGCTTCTTTTCTGTTGTCAACTAATGGATCATTAATTTAAATCAACAATGGTTAAATCATTCTCTTCAACATCTCTTAACACTAAAATATTAAATATATTTATTATATATATTATTATTTATATCATAGCTTCCGGAGTTTGTGGCTAATTTTACTAAAGCACATTAACTTATCTTAGTTAATTAAAGATTTTAAGTCTATCACTTTAACTTATATGTATCAGTAATAATAAGAACTCAAAATATTTGTTGTTTCAAAGAAGGTTATTGACCTTAAAGCAATGACTATACTGGATCACCTTGGTTAACTTAATTTCGTAAAATAACATTGATTAAAAACATATGAGAGCTATGATGTAAATAAATAATATATATTAATCGCAATATTGTAGTTTGAAGATTCTAAAGAGATTGGAAATTATAGTTTAGCATTACCATAAAACAACTTAGTTGTTACAATTTAAAAATAAGAGAACAATCTGCTACCGATTGTTTACCGCAATCGTAACTTACTAATAATATAATCTTGCATTCTGCAGGATCTTAGAATATTACAAGAACTTCCATTAAAATAGTTTCTTGTTAGAATTTCGAAAAGATTTTAAAATCTTCTAAATTTATACGCAAATATAGAGTATCATATCTAACTGGGTGTTAAGTAAAACTCATTGCTTAGTATATCTCTGAAGAAAGTGTTTTTTTGACTTATTGTTTGTTGAAAGTTCAGAAAAAAATATTAATTTTTTTTTCATGATGGTAGCGACATGGACTGCTTTATGAACTGTCAAACTGACCTTCGTTTGATTGGTGGGTGCCAGATTTCTTAACATATTAATAAGTAATATATGGATTAAAACATTCACTCATCGTAGAAACTATTTTTATTATTATAAGAATGAGAAATATCAACTAAATTATGTTCATTAATAGCTAAATATACAACAATTATCATGTTACTTTATAATAATATTGTTATGAAATAGTACTAATTGTATTGTATATACAATGCATTAAAGCAACATGAAGAAGACGGTGCCTTGAACAAAAATTTTTTATTATTGTTGTCTTAGGTGATGGAACGATAGTGTTAGTACTTAGTACATGAATCATAAGTAGCTTCTAACTGTAAAATAATTAGAAACCTATTGATCTTTTATTATTATTATTAGAATGAACAATGGTACTCTGCGATTTCTGAGCTTTATTGTGTTATCCTGGAGAAAGTATATTAAGTTACCGCCAAACAACATACAGAACTAGTGAAAAACGAAAACAAATTTTTTGATTCAAGATCAAACAATGCCAATCAGTTTAATAAGACTACAGAAACATTCATTTCTGATACAACAGTTTAATAAAAATCATATAGTTTTTCCATTATACTACGAATTAAGTAGTCATAATGTAATTAAAACGAATCTGAAACATAATTATTTGATCGTGAAAAATTATATGAATGACGGTAGTTATATATCATATAATGTCAAGATAAGAACTATAGAACTGTATTGTTGATATCTTCAACGGTCGAAGTCAGATCTCGTCTCGAGGCAAGGTTTTAAAAACTTAAAAACACGCGAAACATTTGCAAATACAAATCAAATAGAAAAAAGATGGAAAAAAAAATGTGAACAATGAAATGTGTAAGTTTAATAATGATAAAGGTCTTAGCTCCAGTTTAAAACACAACTCCAATAATATAAAAATGACTTATACAAAACAAAACCGCCTAAGGAAAACATACAACTCGAACTTATTTTGAAATTATATTTTATATCAAAAATTCAAGAAAACAATTTGTTTAAAACACAATTTCTTTTTTGGAATTACATTTTACACACCTATGGAATATATAATAAAATCACAACTAAAAATAAAAAAAAAATAATTTTCGTTGAAAACTACACACACAAGCAACTGCAAAATTTGTATTTATTTTGCCATAAATTGCAAAATTTCCCATCAAAACAATAAATCAGACATTTCCAGTAAAATGCAACACTGCAAGTAGGGGAAATATAGTACAGAACAATTATGTTGGAGTTTGATTGGAAGTCGTAGTGAAGTTGGAAGAGAGATAAAAAAAAAAACAAAATAAAACAAGCAGGACAAGGTTCCAAAAAGGAACATAAAAAAGGAGCGCCCTTTTTCAATGTACTTTTTTCCTTTTTAGTTTACTTTGTAAATTGCGAAAAAACTGGTACTTAAGCGGAAAACACATTGCATGAAATTGTATAGTAAAAAAAAAACAATAGAATAGAAAAATTCTTTTCATATGTATTCCTCATATGTATGTATTATTTAAATGTTAGCCGTTATTACTCACCTTATCCTTTTGTTTCTTTAGCACAAATTAATCCAGTTAAGGTCAGAAATGAATGAAACGTGCTATTGAAATCGAGCGCCAAAATGTTTTATTCCAATAATTAATTTTAAGTAATTGTTATATTTGTGTTTCCTCTATTGTTTACAAACAATTTATGCACAATATATTTGGTCATAACAATTAAACTTTCACTTTGTATTTGAATTATATTCCATTCAAATTATGTTTTATTTTCTCATTTTATTATAACACTAAATAAATAGCAAACACATATTGCTTGTTATATTTTCTAATTATTATTGCTTTCGTGTTCACAAATTTATTTCACTGGTATTTTATTAACAACACATGACAAATGCCATTATTTTTAAGGTTTCCTTTTAACGATGCTTTTTCGTTTGTGGTAAACAGTTTTTTATGTAAACAACTTTTTTCCCGTGGCTTGTATTTGCCAATTTAGCAAAAAAAGTAAAACACATAGGATTGTGAACTTGCAATTGTTTAAATGGACAATATTGATTTCGTTTTGCACAAATACTAATTGTTAAACAATTTCTTATTCGACATTAAAATAAACACTCAAAAACAGTAAATGACAGTCGCATTTACTACTAGTATTAAGTTGCTATATTTTCACTTTACGTTATTATCTCACTGTAGTACAATTATTTTTTATTATTGTATTTCATTCGTTTTATATATTATAAACAAAAACGCAGTGGCACTCTGCATAGATATTTTTAATGTTCAAAAAATGCAATATTTAATCCCAATAAAATACGCGGCCACGAGAGTACCCACGTCCGACTAATATCAACGCTAAACCAGAATGACGACAAAGTACGAAACGAAGACGATAAATGCCTTTCAGTTCCAATGAAACAGAGTTGCCATTCCACTTTACTGCGCACGAAATTTGCGATTTTAAATGCATTTAAGCAACGTTACCTATGTTAATTTAAACAATTAAAGCTAAGAAATGAAAAATATTCTAATTAATTAAATTATTTTAATTAAAAAGTACGAAGAAACAAGTTATCTTAGTATAAAATTCAGAAAAGTTATTTCATGTACTTAACACAAAATTTTGTGTCAATACACAATAATTGCATAGAAAAACATGAAAAGAAATATGAAAAAATTTCCCACACAAGGGATATTTTTGCGTTTTGTTATTGTGTTTGAGCGTGCATAATATAAAATTCAAATTGAACTCTTGTAATTGTTCATTATGCTTTCATATAATTATTTCTGCTTTATTTTTATTTTTATTTTTATTATTGAAAAGTGGTGGTGGAATTTGATTGTTTTTGTTTTGATCTTATTTCTTTTTTTGTCTATATTTCTATTAGTGGATTAAAAGCGGTTTAAATTTGTGTAGAGTTATTATTACAGACAAATTTTAGCAACCTATAAGAATTTTTGATATTATTTGGAATTTTTGAATTGATATTCATTATGCAAAGTAATTTAATTAATATAAATAATTAGTCATTTAAAAATTATAATTTTTAGTTGAAATTTTACATTTATTTTCTTCTAAGTGTCTTAATAGTAATAAAAATGCTGTTGTAACCCGCTGAGACCTGTATGCAGATAATATGATAGGATATACAAGACGATTCCATGGGTAGGGATATGAATGGGTAGTGGTTGTGGGTGTAGGAGGTGGCAATGATGGTGGGTGGGATTTTATTGTACATTCCTGGTTCCAAAAACGACCAGGAAGCATAGAATGAAATGGATTTGCAGACTAGAGTCTGTCCAATGTCTAATAGTTAGCGGTGTACAAATCGAGATTACTTTTTTTAATAATCGGTTAATGATGACTTCTTAATTCGTTCACCTACAAATCGAAATACAACGCATACTTTATGGAATACGTCTTCGGCAACAAATTCACATAAGTCGAGT